ACACAAATCATGCCGATCTTGAGGCAAAGCTCATCTTAATAACTCGATAAACAGAACGAACTTCCCTCTCTCAGCCACTAAAAACACTATCCACACATGTGTATCTTCCAATTACATCTCTCTATTAAGCAAAAAGGGATATAGGTCAGGGCCGTCCGACTAAGGCTTCTGTCACCCTGCCCTCCCCCCCCGCCTTTCTGCATCACTCCTTGCCCGGGGATAGAGGTCCCATAGCTTTCTATTTGGACCCTCGGTGAGTGTACTGTATGTACAGCAGAGGCCCCACAGCTCGCACACACACATAATCCCACCCACCCGCTCCATTAGCGGGAAGAAGCACTCATAGTGTCGACTGCCTTCAGGGGGAAAAACACCGAGGCCAAGGGGAGGCTAATGTTACCGTCAAACCTTTAGCTTCGCTCTCCTATTGACTCCATTCGCACAAGCAAAAATGTTCTTTTAAGAAGTTGACAGTTTCACTTTTTTAATGAAAAACCAGCGAAAAAAAAAGTTACGCCTTTTAAATAGTCTTTGTGTTTTTTTAGCTACTCTTTGATTAGCGGACTGTGAGTATCGACAGCCTGGTGTGTGTGATCATCACAACAAACTGACAGTAGGGAGCTCGATAGCCATCCTACCCAGCCTCCAATACCATCTGTCTAGTATGGATCTCTGGAGGTTGACGCCTGTTGGCTTGGGAGATGTACACACCACAAGCCTCAAGGGCTGGCAGAACAGAGTTTGGAGGAGGTGTATCTGCCCCAATTGAAGCTGTGCAGTCATCTTCACACGCAGAATAGAGACTGGTGGAGGATACCCACTGTTTTTTCATGCTCTCTTTCGCTGTCTTTCTCCCCCTCTCGCCATCCATCCCTCTCTCTCTCTCTCTCTCCGACTCCCTTTCACACACAAACACAGAAGAGCAGGAGTGATCAAACGCCACTGTGATGTCTTAATTAAGAAGTACTAACAGGCTTGATTAAAAGAGAGAATGAAAGGATCCGTCAATGAAAGGAGCAATTCCCTTATCAGCCAACACGAGTGGATGGAGGAGGGGGGGGGGGGGACAGAATACATCAACAGAGCAGATATATGCAAAGAGAGGAGGAGGAGGAGAGCTGCAGCATGATTGAGTTCATGCAGCAGAGTGATTGATGTGACTTCAACTTAGTTTAAGAATCAAACAAGCAAAAGTTTAGTGTGATAAAGGCTGCGTAGGTTTTCGTGAGTGACCTCCTGCTGGTGGTATATCTTTAGAATGGGGATATTTTTTGCCTACAGGCAGCACTAAGAGAGACATTTGGCTGTCAGAGTAATGCTGCAGCATCTGACCCAAGTTTACTTTTGGGTCACGTTCTCTACCATGGATATGAAAACAAACAAACCATGCCATTACCAGCGACGGGCGGCTCTCTTCCTCTCTTTACCCGTATCTCCCGCTCTCCTCTTTCACGTGTCTTTGCACTTTTAAAGAATTCAATTAACCTGAAATGAACTAAGGAATCAAGCAAACAGATACTGCCTGTCTTGCCGTCTCTGCCCCATATTCAGCTATTCTCCACTCCAGTTCCCTTTTGTTCCTTCTGCCCCCTCCAGTTATTTCTCATCTTCCTCTTCCTTAACTCTTGTATTTTGTTTGTGTGACAGTTTTAGGAAAGACAGTAGATAGGGCAAATACGAGTACCCCGTGCTGAGTTAATAACACTGGCAAGAAATCAATCGAAAATCTTTGCGTTGAAGTAAATTCTATTTTGCAGCATGAAATTGAGCCATACCTGCTGTTGAAAGTGGTAAAATATTTTCTGATTATCTCCATCGGCCAGAAGAAAGAAACAGAAAGTAGGTGAGTTTGGCTCCTAGTAAGCATATGAAAACAAGTTCAAGACAATAAACCAACAACCGCTAGCCCATTAGCTTCATAAAGAGTAATTTAACGATGTCTTAATTTTGTCACTGAATGCGATAGGAAGATGAGGGTAGTTTAAGGAAAGCCTCGTCTTCAAAGGGTCGTAGTCTGTGGCAGAGCAGCAACAAAGTGATGAATTTGTAATGACTGGCTTGCCAAGGATTTGGACACCAAGTAAGTCATAAATGCTATTAGGCCCTGTCAGTTAAAGTTAGAGCCGAAGGCAAAACAGCATGAAAAGTGAAGAAGATGACAGACCTCAGAAAGCTGTGGCCGAGCGCTCCCCCCACCACCACCACCACCACCACCACCGCTGCTAATGACTGTTCAAACAAAAGAAAGCAATCTGATATAAACTTTTTAGTAAAGTTTCCTGATACAGCACTTTTAATGCAATAAATTTTCAATGCAAAAAATAATTAAAAAGGGGAACTTTGCTGATTTGCTGACGTCAAATTGTATTTACAGGTCTTTTAGATCTACATGTGAGGAAAGTTTCTGAAGATAGCTGCACAAAATCTGGTGAATTGCCTCAAGGAAGGATCAGTCGGGTATGACGACTGTAAATGAGGAAAAGAAATCTGCAGATGTGGAGTTAGAAAGAAACAAGCAACTCCTCTACATTAGCAGCAGCAAAAGTAACACACCTGAACCTCAAACTACCCTGTTGGGTTGCATTGTGGGTAATGTAGGCGCCAGATTTTGAATAAAAAGCGGAATGTAACCAAAAACTTGAACATCCTGCCTTGATTTTTCTCCATTTTACCTTCGCATCATTTGTTTGGAAGTGCAAGGCTAAATTAATTAAGCGCTTCCTTAAAAATGTAATAATTTCTAAATGTTCATTTAAGACAGAAAACTCAATCCAAGCTTATTTTACCACAGCAACCATTCTGACATTTGTTCCCACATATTTCAGCTACACACTACAGTAACATTAAGACAATGCTCTTTTCTTCTGTCCCCATCTTGTGTTACAGCGGCAGCAGACACACCTCAGCCCTGCTGACAGCCCACAGCCTGACTCTGCGGTGCTGCATAGCTCAGCACAGCTGTCTGTTGTCCGTTTCTTCCGATCTCTATCTCTTCCTGCCTCACTCCCAGCTTTGTGCCCACTCAGCATGATAATGATATACACCTCTGCCCAGTCATCTCTTTGAAACTCTGGTACAACTCAAAGTATGACAACTAAAGCACCATACTGTATGGCTCATGTATCTGTTTACCTCAAGAACTCTGCAGCCCAAACTGAGACACTAGATCAGTAAATGTCTAGTCTCTACTTGAATGGTGCCAAACTCCCCTGAGGGTGGACAGACTTATTCCAGAGGTGGCTTGAGTCCATAATCTTCAGCTTTAACCTTGTTAACATTACTTAAATCATACAACAGATTTTCATCCACCAGGGCTTCGGGTACATCAGTAAACAGTCATAGCTCCCTCTATGGGGCAATATCTTTAAAGGGCCGTGCTAAGATTACTAGTGTCAGCATTTCAGCTGAACAGTGGCACCGTGTTGACACGCAACAGATGAATGTAAAACCTTGAGAAACAAAGATGTGCTTGAAGCAAAGCCCTGCATAAATACTTTTCATATGCACACATAAACACACTCAGACACAGTCTTGAGTGTCCCTCCCAGCAGGCACAATCACACTCAGGCAGATAATTCAGTGTCACAGAGAGCCTTGTCTTTGACCCTCTGGCCCCCTCCAGACAGAGGAAGCAGCTGGACAGGGACCCATGGCTGCCTGGAACTCACTTCCCCTGGGGAGCTCCAAGGAGAAGAGTCCCTCTCCGCCTCAGAGAATGACCAGCTGAGCTTCCACAGCTCAGTGTGCGCTGTTGTGTCCCTGTGCAGAAGCAGGATGAGCAAGACGTACAAATGTGCAGCAGTACAGTGCTTTTTGGGAGAGTCAGCGGTCTGATGAAAAATATATCCCAACCAGCTCCGCTCTGATCAAAGATGGTCTGCTTTAGGCTCTATAGTGACACAGATTTTTTTCCTTGTGTTTAAATTTTACCTGCTGTTCAGAGGTGGAACCCACATCACTTACATAGTTTCTATTATATTTAGTTCTATTTAGAATTTGCACATTTTGGGTGCTAAAAAAGACACACAGACATCGTTCCCTTCCTCTGACCTCATACTTGAACCACATTGTTGTTCCTGTTAAATCTGCATCATGCACATGCACTCCTTTAAAACCTTACATGTATATATGTACTATCAGACGAGGGAATCAGACTTCTCAAGTAAAAATCTCCAGTTGTCTCCCAACTCTTTTTCCCAATAACAGAAACCACATTTACATGATGTTCGGCTGCTGCAGACAGCTGACAATAATGCTGTCCTGAGTGCATGTAAACATCCTGAGTGTGAGACTTACCCACACACATACACACACAGACACACACACACAATGCATTCAGTGGTGAGTGAGGCCTTTACTAAGTGCATATTAATATTGTATGGTTAAATGGGAAATGTTAACATTTTTTCAATTGCCTTGGCAGCCTAATGAAATATTAAACAATCAGAGAGCTTTTGTTTTACCATAATATCGAGAAAGGGTAAACATGAAATTAATAACATCTTTTTAAAGGGAATGAGATGAGTAATGGCTGAAGTCGCTCTTTGTCTATTTAGACAGACGTTCCCTTTTCAAACATGAGCAGACATCCTGCAAATATGTGGTTTAGGTTCATTTCAGAGCCAATTAGATCAAACTGTTAAATCCGGCTGCACCTTATTATTCCAGGATATGCACCGTTATGTATGATTTGGTCTTTAATTTATTGATTTAAAACTCAATTATTTGTGAGTCTGATTACTGAATGAGCACAATCCCCAACATAAACCTTGTGCATCCCATCTTTGCCTCTGCCCATTGTGCCATTAGCAGCTCCACAGAGACACAGCTTCACTCACGACTCACGCAACGCTATTCCTACAGCGCTGCGCAGCCACAATGAACACACTGTAAGCCCCAGATGACAAGCGCCTGGCAGTTAGAAAACAGTGCAATTCATAAAGTGTGTATGAATGGAAAGCGTTTTCACCAAAAAAATACCTTTGAAATGTCATGAATGCACGATTAAAATACTGTTTTTTCTTTTTCTTTTTTAAATAAATATCACTTTTATTTAAAAATGACTGAAAAGAAGGTAACATATACAGTATAAACAAAGTGGATGAGTCAGTCTGAGTCACTCTGAGTTTTAATGATCCGCTTGGTTGGGCTTTCACTCAGGGTCCCAAAACTATGCGGTGGCCAGAGCTGTACAGGACAAAAGGAACAGCGTAACAATGGGTTAAAAGAGAGATAGGACTCATGTCATAACACAAATACATGGCTTCCAACCATTTCTGTACAACACTGTATCTCAGATTTTGGACACATGCACTAATATGGCATTTAACAATGCGTTTGACTTCTTAGAAAATCCTGTTATTTCATCAGCTGTCGTGATAGGGCCTCCAGTGGAGTGCCGCTGTCCAATCAGATGGACAGAAGGTTGGCTGACCTGTTTCCAGGGTCGTGGTTGCTATGACATCCTGTGACATGACAACATAGCAGAATGGAAAGCTAGACAATATGTTGTCCAGGCTTTGGTCAATCAGACACACTCGCTTTGAACTTCCAACTGACTCGCGTCTCTAAATTGTGCTTAAAATGGCCATATTGGACTAATAGAAAATCAGAAGAAAAACAAAGACAGCAGTAATGGCTCAACCACGAGATCAACACCTGACACTAGAAACCATAAAAGAGAAGCTTACTCATAACTAGCTTCCTGGTACATTTGTTATGTTTTTTTTTTTTTGTATTATATATGTCAATAGACTTTGTTACCTTTAAGCAAACACGGCCTCGGATGAGGGCATAGGGAATTGGGCCATAGCTCCTTGAGTCAGAGGAATTCCTAAGGTTATCCCCTTCTAGCCATACGTGGCCTTTTGGAACCTAAAAACATCAGCACACACACAGAAAAGAGGGCAAAAAATGATTAAGACTGGTCTGCTCCACAACAAAGGAATCAAACAGAAAGCGAATGCCTGACACTGCAGCACTACTTAACTTTAACACTTAAAAGTGATGCAGTGAGAATCTACCTTAACCCCACCCCCTACCCCCAACGAGTCGCCTCAGCGATCCCTCCCACCTCAGTCTATCTTAACGTCAAACCTGCCTGTCCCTCTTTAACCCCACACCGTCTTAGGAGAGGGGTCATGGGTAACGGGCAGGGTCGAGGGGTGGGGATTTAGAAGAACTTCAAACAGGGTCATTAGGCTGTTGGCTGAGATCTGCGCCCCTCTTACCCAGGGAGGGAAAAAGCCAGAGAGGGGCCTGAGATAGCTGGGCAGAGAGAAAGACTAAGAGAGAGAGAGAGAGAGAGGGAAAGAGAGAGAGAGAGAGAGAGAGAGAGGGCTAAGCTGCGGCTAGCAGCAGTGTCCAAGGGTCTCCACCGCGGTCCGACCTGCCAGTGGGGCGGTCATCCAAGCGGGCTCTAATTCACAGTGACACCAATTATGATTAATCTCATCACTTTAGGAGAGTAGGCTTGTCAAGGCCCTAATTAAGTGCGCTGTCCCCCCTATATGTGCAGACAGGATCAACAACACATTATATTGTCATAATGGGCATCACAATCCACGAGTCTATTTTTGTGTTGCCTAACTTTTTAACGGCAAAAGTCCTCTGGAGGAAAGAGGAGAACGTGAATAAAGAAGCAGAATATTATCCGCGCCGAGGTGACGTCACGTCTTTGCCTCCGCTCGCGTTCCTTATTCCGATCACCCGGCTCTCTGATTAGAGTGTTCAGTCCTACTCTGGGATGCTGCATTTCATTTCATATTTGATAATTGAGACAGATGATGTGACATAATCACAAGCCAGTGACACGTTGACCTAACATGAGGTAAACAACTCGCTGAATAACAACGACACAAATGAATATCATTAAAGGAGTCATCTGAGAACCATATGTCAGCATGCTGGATTCTCACCATTACACCTCATTAACATGGTAACATATGCTGGCTCCCAAGCACAGGAAAAAGAAACACCACCGTTTGTCATCTGCCAAACCAGAACCCCCCCGTTTCTCCGCATCTTCTTCTTCTTCTTTTTTTTAAAAAGCATAGTTTTCGTTGTGCTTATTCTAAAGATGCAGCGGTGCGATAAAGACATTTCAAGTGTCCGTCCAGAATCTGGTGCAACCTCTGCACACACACAAACATAACAAACACTTTGTCTTTGGGTATGTTCAAGGAAAAAGTGACCCAAATCTGTTGTTTTTGCACATATGTGGCTCTGATCTGTTTGTTTCACAACATTGATTGTGTTTACACGTGCACCCGCAGTTATGAGGCTTATCCCAACATGATCATTATTTGTATCTGGCCGGAGCACAAACAAATCGAGTTCTTTAAGCCTTCATATACACGATAAATACTAGTATCCAAGTCACTTATTACTGCGTGCTGTCTGTGCAGGCACCTGTGATGTTCACAACACAGGACAATAATATGACATTGCTGTAACTGTTAACCTTAAATTAGTTTGACCGTGGCTATTGGAAATGAGGCCACTTTGACTTTGAAATGCCGACATCTCGTTGCAGATTTGGTTTATCTACTTTATTACCTAAAATTGGAAATGGGAGCAACAGACAATATGCAGCATGTCCACTCTGACTGATGTACGGCTGTCACCGTGTAGGTTAACAGAGAGCTGGATGAAGATACACAGCCGTGACATGATAAAGTTCGGTGACCCCAAGTGGGGGGAAAATGTCCATATGTGTCGGGCGTCCTTTTCCCGCCTGTGTGACACAGTTGAACCACTTATGAGGCCAGAGGAAACAATGATCTGAGCTCCATCACTGATGAGAGTGGCCAAAGTCCTGCACTCACTGGGCAGTTGTGGGGATTATTCCTTAGTTACTAATCAGTTTGGGGTTTACAGAATCAAAACCAAACAAAAGGTAAATATAATGGTGTCATCGACAAAGGTATGAAACACTTTTATGACGTCTCAAACCAGGAGGAAGTCACACAAAGAGTTTGTGTTTGGCTGAAGCCGCTCCACCTGCACAGGTAGCGGGCAGCAGTCAGAAACCAGGATAAGATGGACGCATGCAACATTAATAAGAATTTCTTTAGGAGTCCTCCAGCTGGCACAACTGGATTTCTCAATAGGATGATTATATGCATCAAAAACCCCGTAATAACCAGGACACTCAAGTCCATGTGAATGCAGTCAGTGTGAAGAGCACAAACCACTTCCATTTGTCATCCTAAATCAGATAAAGGTCTGATTTTTTTGAACTATGACTTCAGTCTAAACAGCCGTATCAGAATTCACGGCAATTTGACGTCACTCAGTCATCAGAGTTCTGTGCTGGTGGGAGGCTTTCTGTAAATACAAACATGGAAGACAGCTGCGATGGAGGTATTCAGTGGAGGGGCAGTGAGCTGTTTGCCCTCATAAGTATTTGGTGTGACACTTATCACAACTTTGTTGGCTTCCACTACACATGAACTCGTGAACATTCATATTAGTGACCTCCTTGTTTACTTCTGGACAACAGGATGCTGCTTTGGATGTCTTGTTCTTTTGCCCATGTGGATCAGCTCAGGACAGCGACCACTTCACTCTAGAATCTAATACTGGCCACATTTTTAAAATAATGTGAACAGCAAAATCAAAAAAAAAGGTGCCTCTTAGCAATTAAACCAAATTGAAATCTTAAGTTTGCTGTTCAAATTTAGCCCCATGAAACAAATTACCTGATGGGGAAACCCAATCCTGAGTTAAGAGAAAAGCACTTTCAGGGATCAGCAAGGCAGTATTTCAGAAAAGTGATAAAGTGAAGGAGTCTGAAACTTGACCTGCCGTGCTGTGGTCAACATGAGGATGAAAGATTATGCATATCACCTTGCAAGTCACAGGTGTGTGAATAAGGAGCAGCAAGTTGAAGGAAAGACTTTGAATTAACATTTGATTGATGCAAAATGATAGTGAAACCAGATAACGCGCATTCCCTGGCGCTGCTTCTCAAAGACAACTGCAGTTTGAAGCACCAGTAAAAAGCACAAATCTTTTTTTTTTCCTTGTCTACACTTAAAGGTTGTAATTAAGATGTTTCTCTGTTGACAGGATGTTGAGATATGCAAGTAATTTGTCATTTTAGCACAGAACAGTATCAACATGTCTGATTTTGACAGAGGATGAGATGAAACTGTCATCAACACGTGTCATTTCCTACCACACGCGTATTTTCCAAAGATCCAGGCAGGCTAGAGTCACTTTGATCAGCTCTGCCGGCGACTCTGGTGTGATGGATGGCAGAGACTGCACCCGTCCTGTGGTTGTGCAGGTTGGGTCGACGCCAGGCATTGTGTACCTGTCAGAGACGTGTCGAGAAGAGCTGAAACTGGAGCTGCCTTCACCGTGGAGGTGTGTTGTTTAACAGCCACACCATTACAGTGCTCATTATGTTAACATGATTGGGGTGGGGAATTATGTTCAGCTTAATACAGGAATATCTTTCACTGTATTACTCTGTCTATCTTTACTGCAAAGAACAGAATATGTGGGGACATGCCAACTGTCTCATGTCTTGTCTCTCTCTTAGGTTTAATATTAGGGATCAAGTGTCATTGTTTTGACACAATAGCTCAGACACAGAAATGATTCGGAAAAGGTGACAGTGTAATTAGTCTGATGTTGGATCTCTGAGGGTGGAGAGGACCTGTCTGTCTGTCTGAACAAAGGAGGTGATGACAGGGTCTAACACTCTCTTCCAAATTTCATCTTTACAGCTCCACCCATATTGCCTCACACCATCATAATAATCACACACAAACACATACATCCTCTGGGGGGGTAAAAAAAAAACTCCCTGGGGGATCCTAAACATTTATGTGAACAGCAGGTATTTTCTCAGTTACCCCAAATGTGTTCACGCAAAGGCAACAATTTTGCTCCTGGGAGTTGTAAAAAAAATTAATAGATAATATGGCAAAGCAGATATGAGGTTGCATGGGATAAAATGAATACTTCAGGAACTATATATCACACCATGGCTAACATGCATGATAGCTGTGTGAACTGTATATAAATGTAATGATTGCTGCTATCTGACAGTGACAAAGACAGGTCATATGTCACTCAAGTCAAGTTCATTCAGTTTATCAGCTTAACTGTGATTGAAGTGATAATTCATTAATCCATTATTGCACAATGTGCCATTTTTTTTAAACAGAGGTTGCATTTAGAAATTGGAAAACAGAAAAAAAAAAAATCCTCGTCAACAAATGCAGTGTTGTGACACAAGCAGCCTCAGAAACCCAGATTTATGGATCCCTATCACATACACTAGATGTGCTACAGAGCCCCCGTGATCCCGATATAGAATAATCAAGTGAATCTGGCTGTAACTGGATAAATAAATGGACAATATTACACACAACAAAACACTTTGAGAGGTGCTTCAGTGACCTGAAACATACTACATGCCACTGAAACATCACAATCCATTACTGGTTTAAGTAGCCAGCAGATGTAAGTGAATGAATAAGAGGGAGCATGCAAAAGGGAATACAAGTCAAGAATCGCCATCCCACACTTGACCTAAACCTAAATATTAGCAGTTCTCCACCTAGTGGCAAGTTTAAAAATGACTCAAACTGAGACATCTGTCACCACATTGCAGGACCATAAATCACAGAGCACTGATGCTACCTCTTATAACTTCAGTCCTCTGTAGGTGGAGGTGAAGCTGGTAGAAGAGGAAACCTATTTATTTCCTTTTTCATTTGATGAAATGCACTTACAGGCTTGGCCTTGCGCTATATTTTGCTGAACCCATTCAACACTCTGCCCATAGTCTATAAAATACACAATAAATTCAAAAACATGCAACATAAACACAACCTTTGGTTTGTGGACGTATGCAGACGCGCACACACACGCAGATACACACACTCGGTACACACAGACACCCCTCCTCCCACCCATCAGTCTGTCCATTCGGCTGGCACTAACTCTAACAGGCTTCAGAGAGATTGCAGGCCTGAGCTGTGGGTGTTGGGGAAAGTAGTAATAGAAAAGCAATGACAGTGGTTTCAGCAGCAGAACCCCTGTTCACTCCCTTGTTTTATCACTGTTCTGAGGAAATATAGGTGTTGTCAAAAGCTGATATTTTGACCAATGACACAAAATGGATGTGTGTGGTCTAAAATGTAAACAACTATGATAGTCTATAGACTGTGGCACACGCACAAAGAAAAGCCGAGAGACAGTTTTGCATTATGCATCGAGATTCTGTTTGTCATTTTAGGGTGAAACAAAATCTCAAGGCGTTTTGTTGTAAACACGTTCTTCATTCATTCTCTATTTCACTGTATCTTTTAAACCTTTTTTATTTTTTTCCTTTCCAGCAAGACTCACTGAGTTGTGTTCGTTTGAAGGCAACAGAAACCTTACTTGGTAAAGCAGGTAATCACAGGATCTTTAAGAAAATCAGCTCAAAAACATGACATGTTCAACAAATATGGGCTTATATGATGCAAACATACTCACATACGTGTGGGTCTTGAACAGATCTGATGGGGAACTTGTGCAGACCTTGTCACCTTCCAATCCAATTACCCTTTTACAAATGTTCATATGTGGGTCAAATGGACTCTTTGCAATTACTATATCACCCCTGAAAAGACAACACAATCATTTAATTTATAACAACTCAGTGTGCATTAGTTCACAGAATATGCTAAATAGCTCATATATTATACATGGGAATAATATTAAAAATCTGTTGGATGTTGTTGTCATCTTTTATTTTCTTTCTTTGTGCCAGCTCTACAGCTTACTTTTGTATTTTACAAAGATGACGACTCATGCGTTCAGAGAAGACGACATCGTGGTTGACGATGGTGGGCTCCATGGACGGACCAGAACACTGAATCAGAACAACAACAACAGAAAAAATACATAATTATTTACTGCACATGGATGAATTAATACAATTTTTGAGGGGGGAAAAAAGTCAATAATTAATAATAATACAAACCACCACAAATTCTCCAATGTACTCAAAGGCACAGTGTCCAATGCAGCCATACTGGATTGTGTAGCCCACGAAACCCAAAGTCTTTCCCAGCGCTCGACGGAACATCTCCACCTACGGAACAAAACAACCACAGCTTTAATGTCTGCTCCATTTATGGTAGGCTTATGCCCTTTACAGGATCTCTAAAAACAAAAGCTGCTGGGGTCTAATTTTTAAAGGTGTGGACAAGGTTGTCACAGTTGGCCTACTGCTAAGATGGCACATTCTCTGGTGTTTCATTCTCGGAGGCTGAGCGGCCAGTTCACACCAGAAAACTGCCCTGAACTTTGATCCCGCGTAGGATGGACCAATCAACACCTTGTGCTCAGGTGATGGACAAACACAGAAGCTGTGACACATCCAGCCAAGCAGCTCTGCACTGTCTGCAGCTAGTCGCCGACACTCTGCTGCCTCCTCCGCCGCCACAATCATTAGAGCATTTATCAACTTCTGTCAGCACCATAGAAACACAAAGACAGCCAAGCACCCATACAACTGGCCTGCAAACATTGTCACACGAACAGACACGAGGACTGTCCGTGTGTCTTCTAAGCAAACACCCCTGCCACACTCAGGTTATTGACTTTTACTCAAGTTGCAACCTGTGGGACGGACAGAGGAAAGTAAACCAGTATTTACACACTGTCATGCAGAGTGCACACGCAGGCGACGCACACACCTGCATGTACACAAACAGAAAGTGTATAACAAAAGACACCGCTTGGCTTAGATGTTAGTCTGCACTTCAAACATTTTCTTTTAGCTCAGGCTGCTGTCCTGCCAGTCCACCACAGGGTAAAGAAATCTTTTCCTCCATCTCCCCTATTCCTTCTGTCTCTTTCACTCTTTCGCTCTCCATGTCTTCTCTCCCTCCCAGGGTATTATTAACCAAAGCAAGCAGAGCGGAAACCAAAGCCCCAAATCCTCAGAGCTCTGGGAATGACTTCCCAAAGATGGACAAGGATTAGACCCCCAATTTCTCCCTTGCCCCACCACCTCCACCCCCCCTTCTCCCCAGGTTCCCAACAGACCGGGTGTCAGGTGGCTCTCCGAGCCCTGCCAAAGGTGTTACCCCTAATCCCATTACCCCCCTCCACTCTGCTCTCACACACACACACAATGCTTTCTCATTCATTCCAACTATACTTCACCTATTAAACCCTCTATCTATTCTTTCATCCCTAGCATGGTTTGTCTCTTTGGCCCATTCGCCATCCTTTCTGATCCAGAAAAGACCAACTCCATCCTTTCACCTCCCAGTGTGCTGCTACTCCGCTTCTTCTCTCTGTTCCCCAATCACCCCTGGCAACCCTCTGCTTTTCACCGCTACTGCGAGTGACAGAGCTTGAGCAGGTGAAGGGGGACGTATATATATGCTCAGCACAGGGCCCAAATGAAGTGCCCCCTTCCAGTTGCAGCCTGCTCCGGTCTCCTGTTCTGTTCCACAGGACCTATAAACTCAGTCCTCCCCCAGCTGGCACAATAACACCTCTGGCCCTATAATTCCTCTGTTGGGAAGCAAGTGGTCTAAAGGTTAATGTGAATCTCAGGTCTGCACTAAGGCAACATGTTCATCTCTATTTGTCTTGCTCTCAGCTTGCTCCACCAGCATCTCTGTCATTGCGGTACTGTAATGCACTCTCAGACATGATCTCACATGTGCTCCTCCTTCTGCTAGACTGGGGATCAGGAATCTTTGTTAGCACTTATTCGCAAAGCACAGTGGACAGCCTCCCGTACAGCTGCCCTCGTATCTCTGTTTCATCACCCCCCTCCATTCCAGCATGCATTCATCATAGGTAGGGATTAAGGGACTTTGCATAACAAGATCACACGGCCAGTGACTGATATCAAGAGAGTCCATATGCAGCCGCCTGGTTTTCTGAGGCACCCTCTGTCATTGATAGTGTGTGTCTGTGTGTGTGCATGGGGTGTGATGGTGTGTGAATGTGCACAAACAATAGCACTACCTATGTGTCTCATAGAAAGTATCTATGTGAGCTGCAGTGACTCCTTTGGGACTCAGAAGAAGGTGGACATCCATTGAGACCTCTGATTGGATCTCTATTACCTCTAATTCCCCACGGCCAAGTGTCAGGCAACCCACACTATCGCTTGCCCCTAATACCCCGAGCATGTGTGTGTTGGGGGACATTAATTGAATGCTGTATTACAGCTGTAAATTAACACAAAGTCTCTCTGTTAATCCAGGATTACACGCCAAACATGTCCATGGGAAAACAAAAAGAAGTCAGCGCAGCCCTCTCTGCAGAACCATCTGTGGCCACTGGCCTCCTGTTGTCACAGCTACAGTGGGGAAAAGAGGACGATCCCAAATGAATAGCTGCCGACGGAAACATCTTATCGTGTGTTTAACTCTGTGATCCTCTTATTGAGGGAGCGCCGTTCGTTCAGTGCAGAGCAATCACAAGAAGATGAATGGGGGGAAATGTATTTCTTTTTTGCAATAGAAAATATGATCAGAAAGTGCTGCAGTAGTGAGAATACCCATCACTATGTCCGCTCAGCTGTCAAAAGCATTTAAAGTGAACAATCTGAGACACTGCAAACATAAAAAATGAGCGAGGTGTATTTCTGTCATCTGAAGGACTGAAAAGGCTTCCTGATCACTGCTATGACAGACAGGGACGGATAAAAAGGAAAAAGTCTGTCAAAAACTGATACGCATTGGGAAAGTTGTTGTTGTTTCATATCTGCACATATGGTGCTTTTTTAGGTTGAAAACTATGAAATGACCTTGTTCAAGGAATGCATCCCGTGATAAGACGACCATATGGCATTTCTGAAAGGTTGTGAGTTAAAGACAGCTACTGCGAATGTCATTAACTCAATTAAAATGTTTTCATTCAAATTTATATGCCGGGAAATTAAAGATAAAAAGCTGCATCATTGGATTTTTACCGAATGTTCCAAATGCACCCACTTCCACTGAGTTTAGCTAATTAAGTAATTAATGAATATTGATTGGAATCCAATTAATGAAGGAATAGCAAACAAAGAATTTTTTTTTTTTAATCGACGACAGCATAGCAAAACTGACACTTAATTATATACACATTAACGAAGCTACCCAGAATTATTCAGAACGGAATTACCGCTACCAGTCTCAAGAGATTTGACCCTGCCATGGCTGAGTAGTGTTAATTGATATACATGGCCAGTCTATTAGAACCACAAAGAGAATTTCAATCCAAACAGCACACAAGGGCCTTGCAGTGGACTTCTTACACAACTAAATTAGGAAAACATGGGCTGAGAGAGAACTGGGCAACAGGGGGGCTAAGAGGCTTACGAGCCCCTTGTCAGATATTCTTCTTCTCCCAGAGGATCCCAGATGGAAGGGAGTCTGGAGGAGCAGGCAGACCAGAGTGGGGATGAATCCCACCTCTGATGTCTTCCTCTGGGCAGCAGAAGGCAAGGGAGGGTGAGGCATTAGTCCTGTTGCGCAGAGCTTGATTTGATCTTAATGTGAGCTATAAAAAGGAGGAGGTTTGGCAACCAGGGGGGTCTGTTTCAACTATCAGTGCAATCAGAGATAATCCTTCTGATTTAAACACAGACACCTGGCTGGATGGGGAGCGACAGATGCAGAAGTCGCAGAGCACGATGTCTAGCCTCCATCTTTCCTAAGTCTGCCTTCTATCAGAGGCTTAATTGAAGGGACTGATCTCCATATTGCTCTTTTCATTGTTGCTAGCGGCAACACAGCCGTGAAACAGCTGAGCGAGGTTACTATTTGAGGAGCTGAGGGTTTAAACCTACAATCAATGGGTCAGCCAGAGCAAATAATAGCCAAGTGATATGAATACAACTGCTATGAATTGAAAGGAAGTGTAGGTTGACAGAGTCCCCAGCCAATTACGCTGAATGGAAAAATCAGTCACTAAGCCTTATTGTATCGACCACGAGTGATTGCGTGGCGCTGGCCCGGTGCTGAGAGAGTTCAGAGATCTTATCTGGTGTTGTATCAGATTCACAAAGGAGTTTGGGTTATACACGGCACAGCTTATGACACAGCCTGGTGTATTTAAACACTAGACAATGACAGACACCTCATACGAAAAACCAACGCACAATTTCTTAGAATATGATTCATTCTAAATCAGCCTTTTATATATTTTTTTCACAGTGCATATGTCTCTATTCTGCAGGTCAACTCACTGTATTTTAATGCAATGTCTACAATAAAAAAAAAAGTCCCAGGAAACAAAAATAAAGCTACTCCAAAATATGGGATGTTGAATAAATGGAACAAGTCACATCCTAAGACAGAATTAGCTGCACACAAAACCTGTCCGATGCTTATTGTACTCGTGCCCTTAGAATATTACTTTCCTTTCAATGCTAACAAAACAAATACGGTGCATGTTGATGATAATCTTGCATCCTCCGGACACAAGAAGCCGACGGCTTCTTGCAGTGCCACAGTGATGGCAGAATTAGACCGAAGAAACAAAACAATCTGACCAGGAAAGGTCTGACATGTTTTGACTGCTGCCATTATATGGCTTCATCAGATACAGTGACTGATAGAACTGACAAAAACACTGCAGAAAAAAAATACCTACATGCCAGATGACACTTTGAAAAGGGGGAAATATGTTTTATTTTTGTACAATTAGGCTGCTCTGTGCACACTACCACACACTTAAATAGTGCTATAGAGCCAAAGGGTTAAAGTGGCACTTCAGAGAATTGGTAATTAGCTAACTGGCAACGCACAGACGATGTGGCGAAAGCAATGTACTCATGCATCCTGCATGCTGCACTGCTGAAGCAGGCTCTCCTCCTTCTAAGATGCAGGTCAGTCAGCGCATCTTATTTGTCTCATATAGGCTTTCCACAATGCCCAGTGTTGTCAGTCATGATATATTCCCTTGGTCTCCTGTCAGCACATATAAATCTCAACAGTGCTGTCAAAACAGCAGGACTGTCTGCTGAGAGCATTTGTAAAGTGAGCAGTTGGGAGATTGCCTCCTCTGGAGCATCACAGCATCCTGCGATCTTGTGCTGCCTCTGGCCCCTCTCTGTCACACAAAGCTTTTTTTTTTTTTTTTAACAGCTGTCTTAAGGAGAACACTGATCACTCTTCAGTTAACCAGTATTAATAGTGGACATTATACTGTACAAATTAAACTGGGCTCTCCTATCAGCCAAATGTAACAGAACAAGCAGGCACACCACGAGGACCCTGGAACCAAACAGCTCAATGGAGTGCTGCATTACGTTCTACATTTAAGTGCAGAAGTACATAAAAACACGTGTATGAGTTTTTGTTATTGTTGGGACTTCAGAATATCATGAAGCAATTACTAAATGAGTTTAATATTGTAAAACGACTATAATATTACTTGATTTTGTGTTGTTTAAAAAAAAAGATTAGATTTAGTTAAAGTGTCTCTTTAGTATGTTAAATAAAATTAAAAAATAAATACTAGAAAACAGACGTGTTCTTGTCATCCATCACATTCTCCATCAACTTGAAATGATCAGAGTGACTTTAATCACAAATACAGACACAACAGAAACTGCTACAAACTGCCACCACCTGCACAGTCACATGAAGCCTCTGTATGACTATGAGGCACCTGAAGAAATCCTCATCCATGACCTCTAAAGGATTTACCATGAACTAAGGACATAAGTTAGTAGAAGGATATTGTCATATTCATATATTTTTCATAACAATAGAATAGAATAGAATAGAATAGAATAGAATAGAATAGAATAGAATAGAATAGAATAGAGGAGGGATGAAACACCAATATGACTTTTATATATATACTTTTTTTTACTATTACTATTTTATATATATATGTATATATGTATATATAGATATACTCTCTGGCAGGACAGAACTTTATAAATAAATACACGGTGATCAAAACCACACTATACTCCCTTGAACTTGTCATTGTGCACCAAGCATTACTGTTCTTTTTCAATTTTGAACTTTATGTGGTATATTCTAGTATTTTGAAATGTTGCTGTGTGTTAAATTAAGTGCTTTTGTTTTTAAATATCTGTACATGTGTTACAAATAAAAAAAAAGGTAAACCTAAGCTAAAGTGGTCCACTTTGTGGTCCTGATTAGAACCTGGAAGTACCACCATATTAGTCCAGCGCTCAAGTCTCTGCACCGGCTTCCTGTTGCTCAAAGAACTGACTTTAAAACAGCTTTGCTTGTGTACAAGTCTCTTGATGGTCCAGCACCAAAGTACATCTCTGGTGTACATGTTAGTGCCACATGAAACATCTTGGGCTCTGAGCACCTCAGGGAAGGGTCTCCTGCTGGGGCCCAGAGTCAGGACCAAACACTGTGAGGTTCCAGTTTAATGCAGCTAAAGTCTGGAACTGGATTTCAGAAGATGTGAGACAGACCTCAACACTGACAAAGTTCAAATCCAGGCTGAAAACAGTTCTATGTAGTTGTGCATGTGAAATGATTATATTTTTATGGATTGATTGTATCTGCCTCTTTGCTTTAATGTAATTAGTTAATGATTGTGTTTATGTTCTGTGGACTGAGTTTATCTGTCTTCTTATAGTGAAGCACTTTGAATTACCTCACGTATGAATTGTGCTATACAAATAAACCTGCCGTGCCTGTGGCAGTTACAGCTGCTTTACATGCAGGTGAGTACTGTCACTCATTCACATGTCGATGTGTTCAGATTCTACGCTCTTTGTAGGAAACACATTCAGTTTTCAAACATGCAGCAACAGTCAATTAAGAAGTGAGAATGGAACAGAAGGCTGTGATGTGAAGTTTGTCGCTCAAACACCGGCACAAAGAATTTCAGTTCTTTTTCAATATTCACGCTTACAAAGTAATACATTGCATTTTTGTAATTTGCTAATTTGTTTTGGTTAGATTCAATATTTGCACATGTTCTGAATTCAATAAGACAAACCTCCTGTAAAAGAGCCAATTTTCTGGCAGTTACACCTGCTTCGCGTGCAGGTGTGAGTATTGTCACTCATTTTCACATTTACTGGAGTGTTAATCAGATTATATGGTTTTGCTTGCTTTCAGTTTTTCAAAAATGCAGCGTAGGAGTGAAGCTTCATCACACAATGACAGTAGAATAGAATAGAATAGAATAGAATAGAATAGAATAGAGTGATCTGGGTGCAGCTTGTTCTGCTATTACGTGCTATGCTCTGAAAACAAATTGAACTGCAGCTAGTTCTATTCTGTTTGCTAAAAAGGAGAAAAGAACACAGTGTAAACTAAGCAGCTATCTTTGTCAAACAATATTCTGACTGTAATGTTATGCAATGAACAAACAAGGTCACAACCACATAAAGCCAAAAAACACAAGAGGCTTTAGCTTAGCTCCTCGTTACTCCCACACAGAAAGTCTTTTTCTAATGTAGAAGACATAAAAATATGTCAAATGACTGCTGCTAACTTGAAATATTCAATTGAGCTTTACTCACGTACCAACGTGTGATTCAATGCTCCGACCATGCACTTCCCATAACAAATTGAACTTCCCGTTGACAGCTTCCTGGAGCGGCGTCATAACAATCGCTGTCCTCATTGGTCGAGCTCTACCAAACTCCTGTTTGATTGGACAGCGAGCGCCAAAACATTGCTAGGCGTCACCACGTTCCTAGCAGTATGGCAGCTCCCGTGGACAGTGTGGGTAAACCCACAGCTGAACGCTCACCGTTCAATAGTACGAGTTTTCAGAAGAAGACAAGGAGCAAGTTAATCTCCATCCCCGGCACCAGACCATCGGTTCAGAATGGACAGCTCTTAGTTTCGACCGGTGTCACGTCGCTCGACTATCTGCTCGGTCAGTCCGCTGTGGAGATGTAACGTTAGCACTAGCTAACAGGCTAACAGTGTTTCTCAATGTGATGTCGGCTAGGTCCGCTGAACTTCATAAACCTACAGAGTATTTCATTTAAAATGTTGCTGCAATTAATTTCTCAAAGGAAAAATATATACCTTAGCAAACGATCGTGGGATTTGTCATTGTCCAAGCAAGACAAGCTAAAATCAGGGTGTAAACGTTAACGTTAGCATCTGGAAATTACAGATTTTGCTCTTGTCGGATTCAAATCTACACAATAAATCATCCTTGTCCGTAATTATGCATGTCAAGAGATTATTTCTGTAAACTGATAGCAAGCCTCAACAGTCATGGCCGTCTGTCCTCTTCACCTTAAATACATAAACAAAGAACCCTGTTGTTGTTATTTGGAAAGAAATGTTTTGGTGCAAGTTTTTTGGAAAACCATCTTAGACGGTAAACATATAAATTACCCAGATAATTGATCAAAACATGCCAATTATACAAAGAATAATTGTAATTCTGGCATCTATGTATATAACAGCTGTTTCAACATTGCAAATCATGTTTAGAGGCTGAAATAGGAACAATTCAGATGGATGCTTTTTTTTTTTTTGCCTCTTCAGGATATTACAGTTGTGTTGTAATTGTTGTCACCAAGCACATGTCACAGAATCAAAAGCACAAGGGATTTTTAAAAAATGAATATTAGCTGATTTTCCCTTAGCTGCTTCCATTTCAGGGTCCCGTTCTTGTGTTCACTGTCACACATTCATGGGTTAAAGGGAGACCTGAATAGAAGAGAGCCGTCACTGATGTGTTTAGTACCACCTTTGCTTTTCTTACTGTGACAAGTCAAAATGTCTTTGGTTATAAAGGCCGTTTTCATACAAAGATTTATACAACGCTGTGGACACCAAAAAGATGACTGAGGGAAGCACTTGGCTAAATGGATGCTTCAGGTGTTCCACAATGATTCAGAGATGGTATGGATGTGCAATATTATGTAACGAATATGTGACTGATATTATTGATTTTGTCTTTCCAACCAGGTGGTGGGTTAGCAGTTGGAACAGTGCTTCTCATAGGTGAGTGTGTCGCTTCAAATATTTACATCAAATATTGATTAGTTTAAGGGTCCCATCAAGTGGTGTCATTATCTCCTCCTCATAATGTAAGTCCTGTGGTCACCATTTTCTTGAGCGAGAGATAAGACGTTCGCATAAATCATTTAAAATGCCTTGTCTTAGAGTCTGACCAAAAGTAAATACAGACAACAGCCTCCTGGAATGATCATTATGGCCAGCTGTATAGGGACCTGTTGTCAGGAGACACTTTGTTTACATGTGAGGCTTTGGATAGCTTTCCATTTAGCTTGACAACATGCACACAATGCAGTTATCATTGACTAACGCAGCACCATAATGATAAAGACTCCAGTGGTGGCTAATTGCTCTGCAAGCAGTTCAAAACACTACTCTAAGACAACACTGTCTTTTTTTCTTTATTCTGTCTCTTTTGTTTTTCTTACCTGGGGCTAATTACCCATGGTGGAAGTCTGCCTCACACATGTAAACAGACACATAGGGTGCAGATGAATATGAAGGGTGACCTGTCCAGGTGACAAGTTGCCCTGCATGCTTTTCCTTATGGAATCAGCCATAAGAGTCGTTCCAGGTGGCCACTTTGAACGTTTACTTTCTGTCAGACTTTGGTACAAATATTTGAAATAATTCATGTAAAAGTCATGTTTGTTTGAAAGCTATAGGAGGTGAATGATGACTGCTCAGATATGTGCTGTTTTGTGAAAATGAACACTCAGCATGACCCATAGAGCCACAATAGCCACATTTATGAGAATACACCAGATTAAGATAAATTAGAGTGATCCTGTTGAATCAGGGGTTCTCAACTTGTCTCACCCTGGGACCCACATTTTTCCATGGTCATTAAGTCGCGACCCAACAGGTGGGGGGAATATTCGGAGATCAAAATTGAGATCCCGATTCCAGCACAGCGAAGGAATAGTTGGCTATTCGGGTCCAGCCCTAGTATGAAAATCCACATTTTAAATACTCCGGGTCATATTTGCGCTGTGCCATCTTGCATCCCAACATCAACACAAACTTACAATGAACATCAAACAAACTATGGTTACCATGCCTGTCAAAATAAAAGTTTTTTCAAAATAAAAAAATAAGTCCAACCTGAGACGCACATTATATATTATTTAATTTTTACCAGCTGTCCGCGACCCACCCAGAACAGGTCCACGACCCAAAAGTGAGAACCCCTGTTCAGTCAGCCATCAGTTAAAAAGGCATCGTTATGGACGGGATTGTTTAAACATGTGCAATGGCTTTATTAGTGCAGTGCAAAGTCAAAGCTAAACGTGCACTGATGTCCATGTCCACGTACATAATTCATCACCTCCTTTATATACACAGACTCCACTATGCACAGTAAACAACAACACCTGAGGCTAGACATTTTCTGGAATGGACACTTTTTTTATCTTTAGGCTTCATTAGCAAGTTTAATGTGCTTGTCACAGTTAAAGCAGTGGTGTTTGAATAGTTTTTATTTGCTCTGGTTGGAGATGAAAAGTTTAATATGGTGACTCAACAGAAGTTGCTGTGGTTGATATCAGCACATTGCCGCATAGAGAACACATCATATGTGATATTGAGTGCTTTAGGCCACGGAGGAGCATATCTGCTGCTCTTTTCGGAAACATTATAGCCTTCTGCTTTTTAGAAACTCTGCAGCACTCTCAGTAAAAAGGTTTCAAGAGATATAGATTATACATTACACTGCAATCATCACTGAGTTGTAATTTTGGCCTGCTGCATGTATATATTTATAAACAACTCAACATCTAATATACCCCTAAAATTGAAATCATCACTACTTCAGCGAGCCACAGCGAGGCTTCTCAGGCTCTTTAAAGTGAGTACGTCACTGTCTAGCAGAATGGCAAATAGACTAATGACCTGGAGGTCTCCAGTTAGAATCCCAGGTGTTCACACTTTTACTGTGATCCTTAATTAATATGCTCCTCTGCAGATGTGTTATAGAAGTTTTTGGAATTACATTCAAAGCAAGTGGGTTTTCTAGGGACATAAATGTCTTCCACTGTATTATTATTATTATTATCATTCATCATAGGCTGGGCTATATGCACTGGTGGACAGTAAGGTTAAGGTAGTCATGTTTCCCCTTGAAGCTGTAATTTGTGTGTAGCCAAGGCCTATACCAACTGATGATATTGCTTTGCCCTTTAATTCATCCCCCCAATCGATGCAGGAGTCAGTGATTACACACTAATGCGTTCTTCCCTTCCATTTTGTGAATCAATGTACGGTTGGTTTCATCTGGTAATGAGAGACACAGTAAAGGTGAAATGCGTGTGTGTGCGTGCTATCTTGTGTTTGTCTCTGAAAGAGTGGTGTGTGTGCACACTGTGCTGTTTGTGTGTCTGTTTTGTTGTGTGGGTGGGTGGAATGGGGTGGAGGGGTGGGGGGGGGGAGTTTGGAGTGTGTGTTTGTTTGTGTTTGTTTCAGGCAGTCGTCTCCTACAGTCTGCCCCTTTAGCCGTGATGGCCTGTTTGTGAGACACAGACATAAAATTATCAGACTGGTCATTGTCTGCCTTTGAAGTGTCTTGAGCTGTCCATCCTGATTTGTCATCCAGAGGGGGATCAGTCCAGTATGGCTGCTGTCTGCAGATCTCTCATCTCATGTGTTTTTGTAGGAGGAGGAACAATGCATCCCAGCTCCTGTTATGTCGACCATGTATGGTTTTAATCCTTTAGTTTGAGGTAATGTCTTTTTGTTTAACGCAACCACAGTAATTGCCATTTACATTTGGCCTGATTGTTTCACATAATATTTGACAGCTTTGAGTGCACCTGTCTCGAGGGTTGAGTGTATTAGTGAATAACTAAGAATTGCAGTAGCATCATATACGGTGTGTGCAAAAATAATTTAAATATATGAAATCAAAAAGGGCAATTATGAAGTTACTCAGAACATATTCATTGAATAAAGTTGCATGAAGGAAATAATTATCTAAACAAGACAGAATCAAAACTTAAAGTCTAAACACAAAAAAAACACAACTGAAGACATTTAAAGTGCTAATTCTACACACGCTTTACAAATTACATTAAAAGGCTCATTAAAAGCAAAGAACATTTTTAATTGTAGTCGAGGTTTTGCAATCCAGGCTTCCATATGAGATTTATTAAAGTAACATTATCCAATTCCAAGAGCTGCAAAGAGGACAAGTCATTTGTTCACAGATGATGTGCACTATTTAAAACTGCAGTCTTTAATGTGTGAACGTGAACAATATGAAAAGATCGCCAACCCGACACGAACAAATTTGTTCAAAGACCAACAGCAGTCACAAATTGAAACCTAACATTAGAGATGCAGTGTGACACATGCACAGCTGGTTGACGAATGCAGCTATTTCACATTTCATTTAGTATTACCCTCGGTTGTAGTCGTGTTAATCTCAAGTGGGGATTCGGATTTTTCAGGAGTTTTTCAAATTTTGCTTTTATTAAATGTCTTAATGTTTACCTGCCGTACGTCCTAAATGCAATCGAGCTGCTCTGTGGAAATAATTCTACTTCATAGACCAAAGACATACAAGGGGAAAACATTCTGACCTAGATATTTTGTCTCCTCCCCCTGCAGCTTTAGCAGATATGATTCAGGACTCTTGCACTCCCTTGTTTGAAGGCAAATGAAGCAGAGGCATTCCCCTCTTTATCAAACCTTCGTCAGAATAAGTGCAAAAAAAAAAAGAAGAAGAAAAAAAAAAAATCATCCCATGACTGTCCAGAGTGACTGATCTACCTCAAAGATATGACCGTCCCCCACCCCCTGTTGCTCCTATACCACGCCACCTCCCGCCCCCTCCTCATACCCCCCGCCTCAACAGCCTAATGACTCCTGGAGGTTCCATTTGTAAGGCTCCCATAGAAACACAACCACAATAGGCCCCATCTTGAGAGGGCCCATCTGGGAGTCTTTGTGGGGCCTGCTGAAAGCCACAAAGGCCTGCTGACCTAGAAACCCATCAATAAGAGAACAGGGAGCCCCACCGACAACAAATTGAAGAGCCATGGAATTTCCTGGGCCATCCTAAGTCCGTAGGTGAGGACGTGGACCGGGAACGTGGGAGGCGGGGGGAATTCTCTGGATGTTCGAGGATGACACGTCAGGATGTCATTCCCAAGCTGTCAGCTGTATGCCCATTACCTTAAACTGTCACTGCTGCCTTTGTCCTTGTGCCCACTGTTTGTCATTGTAAAAGAGAGGCCTATGAAATCTTTACAAAATGGTGATTGTGACAGGAAGCAGCAGTAGCATGCTGGGCAGAGTTATGTGCCCTTCCCGGCTGGGTTTCATGGTGATGATGCAGGCCTTTTTTTGTGTGTTTGGGTTGTGGAATGACCGGGTGGCTGCTTTGTGTGCAATAAGAAAGGCTACATTTGGGGGAAGTATGTTTGGTGTTTACAATGACTTACCAGTCCCCCCTCATGCCTGAGATGCTCCTCTAAATGAGGCTGTAATGTCAACCCTCCACCGTGAGATTTACCCTCCGATTATAACTTACTGCTCACAAAAATGTATACACCCAGTGTGAATGACACTAGAAATATAACAGGGTGCCACTGCAATCAAACAGCAGAGAGATTCAAGTGAGTCAAATGTCAGGAAGCGTTTTGAGGACAGATACTTTCTTATCCCACTTCTGCCTCCTTTTGTCAGCTGTCCTGGCAGCTAAGGTGCCTTGCCTTCCAGTGGGAGGGGTCAGGTGAATGCTTAAGGCAGGTGTCTCCCTCTCACCTCTGCTTCTGGTTGGGGGTATGATAGGTGAAAGTGGACAGGAATTCTGTTAATACCCCAACAAGACAACTGAAGGTGTCATCTCCACTTTAATAGTCAGATCAGTCAGCAACACCTGTGTTTCTGTGCCATGTCGATTGCCATCCCGTGATGTGTTCCCGACAAAAAAGGTAGCCAGAACATGGTCCTTACATCAATTACTGTTGCCAGCTATGATGAGGTCGTGAACTCCTGGGTCTGTGGTGTCTGAATGAATGAAATTGAAGAAGGAAATATCCAGTGATACATTTGAGATTGATGTATTTTCTATAGGGATGGAACAGTTTTATCACCAAATCCATTTTTCAGTGTTACCAATACGATGTTGTTGTTGTCTTTGTTTCTCTTTCAGAGGAGGACCGATATGATAGCTACTCGCGCATGATCTTAAAATACTTCCTGGCAGAAGGAGTCGTGTGTCGGCATGAGCTTTTTGTGGCGGCCGCTCAAGATAACCCTGATGACATCTTACAGGTATGTGAGGAGGTGCCATCGATTCTGTAAGATCTTAGGAATGAAAATTGTGGAAACCGCAGAGTGTGATTTTATTTTTAAGCTACGAGTCTTGACAAACAATTCACAGAGAAGCTAAGATGGCCTCAAAATGTCTACTTTAGCATCCTGTACAACCGCTGTACTGTCAAACAGACATGTTTGTAAAACTTTAGTTTAACGCTCAGTTATCAGAGGATCTTGCAAACTACTTTTATAAGTTGTTTTCGTCACAGTGTCATCAGCTCCTGCTGTACAGTTCAGGCACACAGCTTTCGTCAACATGCGTCAGGGTCAACGGGGGTATCTGAGAGGTCGAGGGTGGCATGGTTGTGGCATTGTTGAAATGTTTCCCGACGTATCACTTTGTGAAGAGCACCATAGCCCCAGAAGCTGACTGCCACCCAGCATACAGGAGGAGGGCCTCTCTCCCACTGATTGATAGTGGGAGGGGTCATAGCTTCACCCTCTCTTTACATATCAAAGACTTATTAAGAGAGGGGGACTCCCAATGGGGATATATCACATCATTTAGTGTTTTCACAGCTACATTCGCAGTATGCTAATCTTCAGATGCTAAGGTTGCACTTTATGCATTACAACAATGTGCACACAAAGAAAAATCAGCTTACTAGAAAAAATCCAGTTAAAGGAGGAAAATGTTGAACATGTGAACGTGCACTGTGATAACTTAAAAACCAACGTGCATGTGCATCAGCTGGACAATTGGACACCCCCTCCCCACCTCCTTTCTTACCATGCTTTTGAGCCAACTGTAGCAAGATTTGTATTCCCTTTTTTGATGAAAACTTGTTGGTGTTGGATGCACACAGTGAAAGAACAGACTCTCTCTGATAGCTTTATTTCTGTTTTGTATACATGGGAATTTTATGGGAAGTATGCTGTCCATTTACCTGTTTCAGTCCTTTTTGAGTCAAATTGTTTTTAATACAGGATACATCAGGATCATCCCTCTGCCCTGCTGCTAAAACAATACTGTTCCTGTCTGAAGTCTTTGTAATGCATATAGACTGTTGTAAAAACAAAAAAAGTTACAGGAAACCTAGTTAAGTTTACAGATGGCCTCGTCATCACGATTCTCCAAGAAAGTTTTATTTGTTTTATTATTTTTTTCTGTCGTTTGCTTCACCATAATTAACAAGGTTTCTGTTATTTTACTTGACTTGAAAATCATGTCTTCACAGAAATCTGATTCAGCATCAGTGCACCTAAATGATGCCCAGTACAGACCCAAACAAGTCCGTACTGTCTTATATTACTGTGGCAGTTTACATAGTGCCGTTATCCCACTGTCAAATTAGACCGAAATAAAGTTAACATTTGTTTTACGCTAGAATAAAATGTAATAAGGTTTATTGTATTGTTTTGTACAGGAACTACCCGCTCCCATCTTGGATGATGTTGCTATCCACAAGCCGGTGGACCAGCCCAGGCTGTCTTGTGAGCCTCAGGACAGTTTGGATGCCATGAAGATTGCCTGGCGCTATCAGAATCTCCCTAAAGTACAGGTACACAGATGGATTTAAATGACAGTTCATATAGCATGTTGTTGTAACGACTGCAGCACATCTTTTTAAAATATACAGTAGAATAGGGATAACTTTGTGATTGTCTTTTATTAAGAAGTTCAACATGTGTCTCTGTTAATGATGGTATGAGAATGGACAGCGCTGGTTTTCTGGTCTTAGTGGTTTGGCAATTGTCTCGACCACTAAATCCATCAGCTTCTAAACTCCTTTGTGGAGTGAATGAGGCCTCAGCCTCTCCTTTCAGAGCTGGACCAGATTACTCACACTTAGCTGGCAATAGGTAGGCTTTTCACTGGTCCCCAACTCACATATACACACATACACACACGCCTGCACCCCTGCTTAGCCTGGGAAACAAGAGTACTTTGCAGCCTGTGCATTGACATGTCTGCTCGCTCAACCCTATGACCCAGACCTGCGCCTCTGTCTTTCCCCAAATCCCTGCCTTTCCCCCTGCTAGGGTCGGCAGCCCTACACTCTTTCTTCCGCTTTGAGGAGAGGTGACCCTCCCCTTCTACTTCTCTGCAGTCTACCCCCGTCGGTCTATAATCCATATCGCTATGTGGATTAACAGCACACAGTGTGTCCCTGGGGATCCTCTCTCTCTTTCTCTCTCCCTGGAAACTTCTTTATATCTGTGTCCTTTCCTCACCTCTCCCCCTTCCCCTGTAAAATCGTCTTTACAAACCACTAGTAAGCCCCACCAGAGGATTTGCATCCCAAATTCACCCCCAGAGTCAACGCTTACTTTCCCCTTACACACACCTCTCCTGGCATGGCCCACTGTGTCACTCTCCTGATGAAGACATCAGATCAAAGGTGAGGCCGTCAGGGCGGGGATGGAACGCTAAGCGGGTTGCCTAGCTCACAAAGAGAAGATGAGCCCCTGACCCCCCTGCCCTGCTGACCCCCTCGTCCCGCCAGGAGAGGGACACACCGGGGGCCCTAATCCAGATTAGGAGTAGATTAAGGGCCCCTCTAACAATGGAATCCCTGGTTTCACTGAGAGAGAAGAGCTAAAACTCTCTCTTTCAGCTGCAGGAAAACATCCGCCTTCCCCTGCGTCCCTGACACGTTCGCTTTCACAGCCAGAAGTGGACATTTATGTGAAGAAATGATTAAGAGCGTTGTCGTAGTGGTTATTTAACTCCTCTGCTGTAGGAATGTTGAGGAATGACCCATAAACAATGCAATTGCATTACCATAGTGTTGTGAAGCACACTCATTTAAAATATTAGAAAGACAAACAAGGTTATTTTCTTACGAGTTGCCTTCTTCGTATTTTTTAAGGAAGGCAAATACACACCGTTTGTATAAGGACACAGAGAACAAACAAAGGTGTTTGGTATAATTTAAAATGTGATTTATTTATATGGCTTTATGATACATATTCTGAACCAATAAACTTGACTTGTTGACCTTTTCAGAGCGCCCTGGCGTCCACTTCCCGGTTCGGGCACTACTATGACGTCTCCAAGACGATGGAGCCAGAAATTCGCCAGGCAGCCAAGTGCCACCGCTTCTACCTTCCAGAACATCCCACCCAGACATCAGCCACACACAGGTAAAACGACGAGACATCGTCCACAGAAAGCACGGAAACCAATGAGACATCGTGCGCACGACACAGGCACACAAACACGACATCATCCACAAAACACAGTTACGCAAATAAGACATCATCCGCAGAACACAGGTGAGTAAACGAGACATTTTTCACAGGTTACAGGTAAAGCAACAATGTGGATGGACGGATATATTCTACAGAGTATAAATCCTGTATCCAGCACGTGCATTAAAAGTTAACCGAAGGAAATAGGGATTTTTCTGTGTTTGTGGTGATCATTTGTAAGAATTTAATAGACTTTAAGACTGCCACTAAAATAGTTTTCATTGTCACTTAATATATCCTATTTTTGTTTGTCAATAAAATGACACAAAATAGCTAAAATGCCAATCACAGGAGAACCACGGTAATATATTCATATTTCTTTATTCATGACAAGCACACTAAAACAGAAAGAAATTGAATTTACTTTTATATAAAAAAAGAAAAACTGGTAGAAACTGGAACCAGTTAATGTGTCATTTTTACTTGAAATTAAATTGTTTTCAAAATAGATTATTTTATCTGTCAATCAGTTAAAAAATCAATTACTTGTCTCAAGCTCTAATAAAATGTGCATTTTATTACCTGTAGGTTGTGACGAAAAACGTGCCTTATTGATTTTCTGTTAATAGTTAATGAGATTCAGTGAAGTGACAGCAGCTGAAATCATCTTGTACCACTGTTCATTTCACTGGTGGCACACCCACTTGACAGCTTACAGCGTCTACAGTTTTTATTGCACCCAGCTGAAATGTCGGGTTTCACCAGATGCTTTTTAAAAAATGTATTCTAAACACTGAATCACTTTGCATAATTGTCTTTTAAACAACTGATACAAATCAGTTTAAAAATCCTCCCGGTTCGTCTTCTTTTCTGTGGAGCTTGCCATTGGCCTAAGTCATTCAACCTCTTGGAAAGGTTGTGTATGTCTATTCAAATAAGGCTCTTGTTTGCTCAGCGTCTGTTTGATTTCTCCTGCCTTGAGTGTACTTAGGGTTCAGAGGTCATGCAGGCTCTTTACTCAAAGAGTGCTGCTGAACACACAAGGGCACACCGAGGCACACTCACACACACTGGGTAAATACTGCAATCTGGAGCACAGAGGATGTGGAGGAGGCTTTATAGAATCCGTCTTCCTTTATATCAACAAACAGAGAGCGTTTAACAGAGCAGCCATACAAACACATTAACCGCTGTGGACATTCAGTTTGAAGTTTACATTTTCACAAGTGCGGACCTTGAAGTGGACACCATTAGCTATTGTGTCGATTCTCGGTGCACAACTTAACAATGCCTAATGGGGGAAAATACAGAATGAAAAATCTTCTCCGCTGATGAGGGCAGCGTTGTGCGGCAGCGAGTAAGAGTGACATAATGGTACCGTTGTAGGGTCTGAATGGGTTATAGATCTTACAGACATTTTGACAGCGGGAAACTACACCTGCACCACACCATTGTGCCCCGAGGCCCGCCCCGGTATTGACACAACCACGTGCACGCACACACTCGACACATTACGCACGCACACGTACCACACAAACTCCTAAGCAGGCTACTCCCCCTTGCACGTGTCCACAGCCCCATGTTGATACCCTAGCTGTTAAATTGCTCCGTTTCACTTGAAGGCATAATTGGCACAAATTGCTCTCTAGGTGATACAGATCCTGTTGTTTAAGACCAAGCATCCCCCTTTCTCTCCTCCTTTCTTCCCCCGCTGAAAGAGGGACACTGAGATAAAGAAGCTTCCCTATGCACGATCCTAATTAGCTGACGAACTAGCCCCTGTAGCTAAGCACCTAGACCTTTTCGGTACCTGAATGAGGGGTGCTCAGTAGGGGTGGCTAAAGCACAATGCCGTCTCGCACAGTGGCTGCCAACCAGAGGCAACCTCCCGCTCGACTACATGTCACACCATCCCAGCCCCCTACCTCAGAGCCGGGGCATGGGCAAGAGAGGCCGTGGAGGGTAGGTGTCCTTCTTTCACCAAACCAGCTCTATCATTAGCCACAGCGGGGTCAGGAGGCACCATTGTTGTGCTGAATAACTGAAATAGAGTACATGGATATACTTGGCCAAGTGTAATCAACACAAGTGTGTATTACTGTTCTTTATGCAGGGCTATTGGCGTGTGACCAATCTATGTGTATCAGCTTTTGTAGCCCGCAGGTCGGATTGACAACTGACATAGCAGCCCACTGTGAGTCACTACGGAGTCGTCATTACAATGGCAGGGCGTTCTTAAGTGGAGGGTCCTGTGTAAAAAGATGGGGTTAACATTCCTATTGGCCATCCTATAGGCGCATGGTGGGCTCAGCAGTAATCCATCCCTTGACTGTTGCTAAATGTAGCTCTGATGGTACTGTACGCCCTTTGTCGGTGGTGCACATCTTACCCCTGATTAAACACCAAAATGCTGTTCCCTGTTTATTTTAGATATCAGCCCATTATTTCCTTCCTCCCCCCTCCTCCTCCTTCTCACTTATCATCTTTGTTGTGTGTATGTTTGCGCATATGTGCATCTCATCTGTCTGTCTGTCTGTCTGTCTCGGCACAATCAGATCCTCGGGGAGCTGACAGAGAACCAGTCATGTTGTAATTTAATCAACCAAATAAATTAATTGGATCTCTTGATATGGATCATCTGTCTGCTTCAGTGGCTCCAGAAAAGCACAGTCAGGAGGAACATGCTGCAGTCATAGAGGATTAAGCTACTGCCGTGATAGGCTTGGCCCAGTTTTATCAAAATGGTCTCAATGACAGTTTACGCGTCTTAAGTAACCCTTTTTCTATTCTGTTTCTGGTTGTCTGCTTCACCGTGTTCGTTCTGTTTTTTTTCTGTTCTGTCCTCCCTCCAGTCCCATGATTGAGTCCTACTCTGCATTGCTGAAGTCACTTCAGGAGGTCATACACAGGGAGGGCTTTGATGTAGCTGCCTCGATGGTAAGAACCACAACTGAGCAACTGTTTCACATTCATTTCTTCCAACAAGTTCAGAAGGTTGTTCTGTTCATCATGCAGCTACGACCTTTTGGAAATTTGTAGTATCTCAAGTTGTTATCAGGCCTGTTAAGCAAAGAAAAAAATCCATTGTTTTATATGATCTTGATCATATAGCAATATGTGACTCTATGTGTATACGTTTGTTGACAGATGAAAGAGAAAGTGTCCCCTTCAGGCCACCAATCCTTGAATGTTAAATTTGATCACAGTCGATTCAACCAGTTGACTTTAAGTGGATTTATTCAGAGATGGCCAAGTGTACATTTTGTTTATTCATTTGACTTTATATTAGTATAGCAAAAGAGACCACTTGTCCAATTTGAGGAAACATGGCAGCCACCATAATCACATCTACAATCTGTTTGCGGATTTGACACACACACACAAAAGCATTACTGAAATACAGTAAGTTTAAGAACTCTATGACGAGCTGGTACTAAAGTGTACAAGGGTGCAAATGTCTATTTGTAGTCTCACTATTTACCAGGAGTCCATTTAGACCAGGGGTGGGCAATCCTGGTCCTCGAGGGCCACAATCCTGCATGTTGTAGATGTCTCCCTCTTCCAGCACACCTGATTCAAATGATCAGCTCATCATCAAGCTCTGCAGAAGCCTGATAACGATCCTGATCATTTGAATCAGGTGTGTTAGAAGAGGGAAACATCTAAAACATGCAGGATTGTGGCCCTGGAGGACCAGGATTACCCACCCCTGATTTAGACTATCAGTTTTGTTTTTTGTTTTTTTTTTTATTATTATGTGAAATATGCAAAAGAGTAGCATTTAAAAATAAAAAAGCTAGATCTGCATCTCAATCCCAGGCTTTTTTGCCACATTCAAGCCACCACTTGTGTCTGTTTACCTCTTTCTCACCTGCTCGGGGTTGGCCTCACCTGTGTGTCCCAGCTGTGTGTGTGTCTTCCCTTTGACATTCATCTTTTTAATAATCACCAATCCTCTACAGAATGCCAGAAACATCCAGATGGATGGAAATCACACAAATGTCACTCTCTCTATCTCTCCTTGTCTCCTTGCCACTCTATACATACATCCATAGATAGATAGATAGATAGATAGATAGATAGATAGATAGATAGATAGATAGATAGATAGATAGATAGATAGATAAGTAAAACCCTCCCATACTTTGAGCACCCTACTTTCATAGTGTTGGTTCACTGCAGCATGGAAATTGCATTATTTGTGATCCCGTGCATGCATGTGTGTGTACGCACACATGCTTATGCGTGTGCCTTTTTCACCTACATTCTGTGACCCCTCTGCTCGTCACCTGGAGCCACCTCTCCCCCCCTGTCACTCACACACAGGATTTACCTCCCCTACTCCCCACCTTCCCTCCCCGAGCGCTGTCACTCACACACCAGATTAACTGCTGACATCATTAAAGCAGTGTGGCTGCCTGACATGCTTTTGGCAAAGTCCAGGAATGCAGACCGGCACAGAGCGACATGGGCACTGGCACCGAAATGCTCAGTATGGACGACAGAGAGAGTGTCTGTAGCTTTGGTTTATTAATTGCTTGTTGTGCCCATTTAACAACATACAGATTTCATCTAGTCTGTGTTTTGTAAATAGCAGATTTCGACGAGGATTAAACTCCCTGAGTATATTTCTGGGAGTGTTTGAGATAAGTGGGACAGGCGTAACAGCAGGACTGTGAGTCTCCACAGTCACTGGCTGATTAGGTTGTGGTTCCAGGCTTGTTGTAGTCTATATGGCTGGCCTCTGGTCCTTGGCTGGACCCAACTGGCACTGTTCCCTGATTTTTCTATAGGCTAAACTATAGGAGTTAACTTTGGCCTCTCATCCTGATGTTGCCACAGCAACAGTCGTGTTACCACAGTTCCCCCCTGTGGAGTGCAGACATAGAAATAGATTTCTAAATCTGTGGCCCCCAAAAACCTGTGTAGGAAAAGCCTGTAAACAAAGAAAGGCCATATCAAATAGTGACAAAGCCACACACACATCGCTAATATTGAAGCGTAGCAAGGTACAGAGATGGGGCACTGATGTTGACTCATGTAAAGAAAGATGAATGTGGAGTCCAGTGTGAGAGTCCTTTCCAAAGCCCTGAGTCGACCGTGAAAAACTCCCAGAAACAATGGGGTTTATTTTTCTTAGATCCTTGTGATTCTGATCCAGATCCAAACGAAGCTTAGGTCATACTGTTGGGAGAGGAAGCAATGGGGAGTGGGGCGGAGGAGATTTTGGGAGGGTTGTGATAATGGAGGGGGAGGGATAAAGGAGAGAAGAGGCTGGAGGAGAAAAAAAAAAAAGCGAAAAGTGAGCAGATTTTAGGCCAGGGCTTTGTTAATCACTCTTGGCTCTCACCTCAGTAATCAGGAGCCATCCTGAAGAAACCCCAAATAAAAGGCAATTGTACTAAAGGCTAAAAACCTCTCACAGTTTGGACAGGCTCCTCCATTCTCCCAGTTTCAGTGATATATATCCCACCACTGTTTGGCCACTTTTTCTCTGTCCTCATGAGAGTGGGTTACCGTTGATCTCTTGTGGTGGGGTGGGGGGTGGTGGGGGGTTTCAAGGGAAGGCACTCCACCCTTACCCAGGCCCCCTTGGCTGCAGAGCATCGCTGTGGTGCCAAGAATGTGTTGGGGTTTCTGGGTGGCGGCCATATTGGAAGCCTGTCTGACAGGTCCATTGTGCGTGTGTCAGATGGCTTCTGTGATTGGGCAGTTGTGTCCAGTCACGTTTGGGCACTGTGTTCCGATCGTCTGTGCTGGTGAGCAGACTGTCCAGTCGCTCTCTCCCAGAGTTTGGGAATACTACCCAAGACAGCAGCACCTTTTCTGAAATCGTTTAAAAAGCAGTTATCAGACAACATTCAGATCCGCTCTGTGAACTTTGTTATTGCGTACTGTGTGTGCCATTCAGTAAAACATGACCCCTTTGCATGACTTTCTGCACACTTTCCGTATTTCTGACCACTTCTTCTTCTTCTTCTTGCTTGTTGTTATAGCCAAGGTCACGTAACATCCTGCGTGTCGGGCTTCACTCTCTCGGCTCAGCTTTGTGGGGTGATGACCTGAGTTGCCATGACAATCCCAGACACAGCCACGCCCTGACTACCTTTCTGTATGGACTGCGTGCCTTGCTGAGGTCGTCACTGTCAGTCGCAGTAGTTACTGTACCTTCTCATCTTATCCAGGTAAGAAAATGTGTGACGCATCTAAACAACTCACACACACTTTGCTGGTGTCAAATAGTTGTGAATAGTTTATCGGAAGTTTCTGCAATGGGTGATGCTGTAAGAACATAATGAACAAGCCAGTGGTACGCTCTGAACTTGATATGACTTGAATTTACAGATTATAATGTGTACAGATAGTAGACAGGATTTTTGTGCATGGGTTTATTTTTGATCTGTGTACTCTTGCTTTGTATTATTTGCCAGTAAAGTACATGATATGAAGTCTTTTGTAGTGGGGCCTCCTCCTGACCCTTCAGTTCAGTGTCACCCTGGTATGACTCAGGCCTGCGAGGGGCCTCTTCCTCCTCGAATCAGTCCCCCCAGCTGACCCAGTCGAGTGCACACTTCATTCAAAGACCTCTAAATCTATGTTTGTTTGTTTTGGCTTCAATTACTTAAAGCTGTACGGAGAGTGCGCGCCCGCAGACGCGTTTATTGTCTTACAAGTGTAACTCCTTGCAGTTGTGTGTGTCTGTACTTGTGTTTGTGGGTTGTGTGTCTTGGGGAGGGGGGGCGGAGGGGGGTATGAGTCCGCGTGTATGCGTCTGTGTCCAGTCTGGCCTCTCAGTGTGAAGGTGGAGTCATCTGCTGAGGCATATGGCAAACCACAGCCCTCCCCCAGACACTCAACCATAGAAGCAGACTCACCAGAAAAGCCATCTGAGACTTTCCACGAAAATGTTTTCAACCTGCCCACACTTGAAACGCCCCACTTCCTTGTAGCACTCACTCACAAGAGCAATGGCAACAGTATTATTTGTGATCCCTTTTTTTGGAAGATATAGGTCAGTGTTTAACTTATAGAACAGCTGTGTTGTCACAACATGCTCTGGCTCCAGGCCTGTGTGCTCACTGCACAGCGGCCTTGGCCTAGTCAAAAAAGGTAGAGTGGCTAACTAGCAGATGTCAGCTGTGGTGGGAGCGGTCCCCCTGTCCCACTCTGGCCAGGCCTCCAAACCCTTAATCTGTCCCCTCCCCCCTTCTCCACCCTGGGGAGAGAAGTGAATGAGCTGGGGAAGAAGGGGACAGGGGGAAATTTTGGACTGAATCAGGTGTTTGGTGACTAAGCCAACATGGAGGTAATTAGAGGCTGTTGTGTTATGACCTTATGATTAGTTTAACACTGTCAATCTCACATGATGATGATGATGTTGTTGTTGTTGTTTTAGGAATATATTCTACTCCCATCAGCTGAGGTCACCAACGTGTGAAAGTGGCTCACTTCAAGCTGCCGACAACACCACGTTGGATATTTTAGAAACTGACGCGTTATCAGAGCTTATTTCTGCTAGTGCCAGTTAATTAGCTTAGTTAAGAGAGTGTGGCCTTTGGAAGACTGTCTAGACTAGTAGCAGTGGGCTAGCTGGCTGAGACCTCACCGTCTTGGCCAGCTAACCCACTGCTACTAGTCTACAATACTCAATCCATTATTGAGCAGCTTGGGAAGCTGAGCAACTCACTGAAAGCCTCCTCACAGCAGCCCAGTGCCACAGTCCATCTGAAACATTAATTAGGCTTGTCCTAACCCGATTCTCCTCCATCATACAATTTCGTGCTACCACACCCATCCCACACACAAACACAAAATGCATGCATATACACCTTAAATGCCTCCCAGACTAAGTCATGTCCTGACGTATGCAAATATTTTGAGTCAGGTTTCGTAGCGTAGTTGCTCGGTGACACGGGCCTCTGTAGTAGTTCTACGGAGGATGTTTTTTCCACAGTCATCAATATTCAGTTGACTTTTAAATTGATATTTTACTCATGAGCCTCACTGCATTGCTGAACTATGCATTGCTGCTTATTGCTTTTACTAATAGTGTAGCTGTTCTTTGCATATTTTTGCTATTTTCAAATGTAAAATAGTTTGAATTTTTAATCACGGAGGCCATAAGTGTCATATCCTTTTTCTATTTTTAATGGGGAATCTGTGTCGGGTTTTTGACCATCAGAAAGTCATCCCTGCGTCTGTTCACATTGAGTTGATTTATACATTTATTTGCTATTTGGCTACATGCGTACACAGTGGCATGTGTTGTCCACTGGGTACAACAATATAGGAAAAAGTGAACAGTGGGCCCCTCTCTGTGACCTGTCAGTCAGTGGTTGTCAGCTGAAGCTCACGGTGTTCAGGGGATTTACACTGATGGGATCTGAGCTAATTGAGCCAGCATAGACTTTCATTGCAGAAGTGAAATGACTCTTTTTAGAGCCTCTTATAAATTATAAATACGTTGTTAAAAAAAAAAGTGATATGCAGTTGAGGTGAGCCTTTCTCTGATAACTTCCTTAAACTCAAGAATCCATGAAGCATATCTTAATGACCTCCGTCTGCCCTGCTGCCATTGTACTGAGCTGCTCTGTGTGGACACTTTGGATTCATCTGACCTTGAAACTTTTGACTCTCTGCAAAAGAGCCAAATCTTTGTTTTTAAGTGTATGCACAAGAGTCATCGTGGCCTAGGAAGACCATTACGGATAAAGGTTCATTTGACCATATCTCTCAAGCAGACACCTTCATAGTGGTCAAACTGTACCATTAATGTATTGAATTATTTGTCGTATCCAAACTCTTACACTGGCTTTAATTGCTGCACGAGTGACCTCAGATACCCTCTAAGTGCTGGTGGTACTGACTGGTAGGATATGCATACTTTAAAAGTAGGACAAAAATGAAAAGGAAGAAAGAAAGAGTGGGGAAAAGACATGAAGGCATGAAAACTGCATTAGGCGGTGGCAGCCAACACAGAGAGAAGGATGTGAATGATTCAGGAGGCAAAGGGATTAATAATGCAAGACTCCCTCTCTCCCTCTGTCCCAGTGTCCCTCTCTCTCCCTCCCTTCCACTCACTTTACCCTCTACCTCCACCCTTTTGTATATTTCTCCCTCGTTCGTTCGATCTACTGTATTCACCCCTAATTTGTCCTCTTTCTCGTCAAGGCCCCGGACTAACCAGTAGGGGGAGCTATCCACATCAAGCCCATGTCGCTTCTCCCACTTTTCCTCTGTCCTCCCCTGCTGTGTGCATGGTTAAGATTGTGCACCAACTATTTTTTTTTCCTTCTTTTGGTGAAAGATGCCATTTGATGAAGTCAAATCATTTAACTGTGTTGAATTTCCCCATGCCAGTTTAGTGGATGTGTGAGTGATGCGAGGTGTGTGTCCACTCGTCTGCCCTAACATCACCTGTGTGACCCCTATCTGTGCTTTCTGTACTTCATCACACTCACATAAGCCGTGGGCAGGGATGACCTGGCCACAGGAAATGATGACCTAATTTAATTGCAACACTGATGGCCCGTCAGGAGGCTTTTAATTACCTGCTCATGTTCTCTCCCTCTCTCTCTCTCCCTCTCTCTCCCTCCCTGTCTCCCTCTCCCTCAATCTCGATTCCACCCGATCCTACAGGACAGGGCTCTAATGGGCAGCATAACCAGGCTATGTGACAATGCCATAGCCTTGGAATCATTCAAAGGCTCTGAGAGAGAGACCAACCCTCTCTACAAAGACTACCATGGTAAGAACACACTCGCTTATCTTTTCTGTCTCTTTTCCATCAAATACACACACATGCACACAGGCAGTGCATTAAGGCTGGGGCTGGGCTGTGGATGGAGGCAGGGCAGCCCCCTTGCAGGCCAGGCTGTCAGTGCGCGTTAGTGTGCTGCTGCTCAATCAGACGTGCTCCTCAGTAGACAGGCCGGGGGGGATTCAGCTGCCACGCTGTACCCCCTCTCCCTCGCACCCTCACCCCCTCCATCCCTGCCTTCCTCCCCCCCACCACCACCACCCACCCTCCCCACCTCCCCTCCAGCAGAGCCTCTCTCCCTCTCGCCTCGCCCACTCTCCATCCCCAGTCCCATACCCCTGAGGCTCTGGAGCAGAGCAGACCAACACTGGGGAATCGATATTCTCACCATCACTCTCTCTTCCTCTCTGCCTCTATCTCTCTATCCCTCGCTCAATGTCTCCATGGCCAGCATGCTCTGCTAATAAATGGAGGGCAAGGCTTTCAGTAGGGGGAGAGGACACCGGTAAGAGACGGTTAAACAGAAAGAAAACGAAGAAAGAGAATGGGGTGGGAGGAGGTGGGGTGGGGAGGCAGCGCAGTTTGTCTCCGCTCTCTCGGTCCTCACCATCACTTTTTCTGTACATTTTTATCATTCTCTCTTTCTCCCGCTTGCTTCCCTCTTTTCTATCACTCTATCACACTTTCCATGCAGAAAGGTCAGTTTAAACGGGTGGGGTATTTTTAGCAGTGCCTCTCGAACTCTCCCACTCACTCTTGCGCTTTTCCTCTCATTCCCCCCCCCCTCCTCAGGTTAGATAGCCCTGGTTGTGACAGATGCAGGGATGAGATTGAAAACATTCAAAGGCGGATTCTGGTTTCACCCAACAGAATGTTTTATTTAGACAACACGTCCCGTAGTGATCACATTCCTCTGCATTCTGACGGCAGGTGACTTTTAAAACTCGTTCAACGTACGGGCGTTGTAAGCGCATCGTTATTTGCAATCGTTCTGGGGAAAATGTTGTTTGGAATTTGCTGTTTAATATTGTTTGAATCTCTTGTTCAAAAATATATTTGCCCTGTTTAACCAGCCAGCGAAATTCTGGTCGGGTTATGAAATACATTTATGTGTGCGATTGTTTTGATGTGTGTTCATGAGTGCAAACGCATCTGGTACGAGTGTGAGAGTGCGTGCGGATGCGCGTGCTTGCGTGTTTGCGGCAGCAGTTCAGGGCTGCTCAAAGCATGCTGGGAAGCCTGTCACTGCAAATCAGGCAAGGGGAAATCACCCAAGTGCACAGAGGAGAGAACCCACCATCCCCCACTTTCTCTGTCTGTCTTCCTTTCTCCATTACTCCCTCGATCTCTCCTTTTCTCTCTCACGCTTATTTATACCACCCCACTTCTACAGTACATATCCAGTTTTATGAAAATGTAACTTTGGTGAAATGAAATGAGGAAAGAAATCCTCCAGTGCTTTCCCTTAGGCTCCATACGAATACCTAGTTTTTAGATTTTGTTTTCTGTCCCTCATTGCACTAATGTGTCCCAGTAATAGTTGGCAAATTTCCTCTACCCATCCTCGAGTAAGAATGCAGATATAGGAATGTTTACAGATATTAAGAAAAAGCAATTAATTTCAACTTTTCACATTTCACTGCAGTACCACAGTGTTTCTGTCAGTGTAGTTTATCTACTGTAATTGTGATGATTAGTACAGATTTAGTTGTTTGAAAAAGACATTTTGGGGGGATTTATGCTTTGTTTTACAGTGATTATTGAGAGAGCCAGAAAATGTGGGGAAAGAGAAGTAGGGGAATGACATGCAGCAAATGGTGCAGCCAGCAGGGAATTGAACCGGGAACTTACTGCTCAGAGCTTTGGTGTCCATGTGGTGTGCGCCCTAACCACTCGGCTGTTGGTTCTTTAAAAAAAATTGGCAAAATTCTATCTCAAAGTACTGTAGTGTAGTAAATGGACACACATTTTCAACAAACTTTAAATATCCTGCACTTTGTAATCAGCAGGTGAACACTTGAAACATTTCTGTTAAAAAATAATTTTGGTCAAATCAAAAAAGGAAAAATGTTTCCCTTCAGTCACCACAGAACATTGGGATTTACAAAAATGTTATTCAGATTTTTTTTTTCTTTTAGCGTTGCCAAATTTAAATAGAAATAGTTTGTAGTCGGTAAAGTAAATGAAGATTCACATTTGAAAATGATTTTAACAAACCCGTAGTGATGGTTGGTAGGAATTCAAAATGAATCTTGCATGTGTAAAGAAAAAAAGACTCTTTTCTTTTACTTAAATAACAAAGCACACCTCTGTTCTGCACAAAGTTTTCTTATTGGCACAGTGTAGCAGCCAAACTGTGGATAGGACAGGAATATCTTCCATGTTGTATTTTTTATGCACTGTTAAGCGCTTTCAGGTTTAATCTGCTCCTTCTGTCCTTCACAGGCCTGTTACATGTACACCAGGTACCTCACCTGAACTGTCTGGCGAACCAACTCCCCGACCACAAGGACCTGGCCTTTAAGCTCAAGAGAAAACAGTTCACTATTGAGGTATGTCGTCAAGGTTACTGAGCATACACAGGATTTGGTAATGAACAAAACGGTGTTCAGTGGTTGTACCCTGAATTCTGTATTTTTAATGTCGTCTCTCAGTCGGATGTTTTGAGTTTTATAACTCGCAATGCAACCATTAATCAAAAACAAGCGCTGATTTAGGTGCAAAGTAATTATTTATCAAGAAAGTTTAAGTCTTTTTATCATTCATCGCCTTGATAATGTTACTGACCGTAAGCCCAGCTCTGAAAAAAAATAACCTGTGTGTACTTTTGTCTGCTATTGGGTGACAAAATCAAAGGTGAAGCTATTGATTATACACTGTTGGTGCCAGAGTTACTACAGTGTAACATCAAGAGGCAACAGAGTGTGAAAAATCTATCTATAGTCATAAATATGTAATGAAGAAACACTGATGGCAATTTATGTTAAATGTATATTTTACGTATTTGATGTGTTTAAGCCAGTTGTGATGCTCTGATGCATGGAAATGTCAGTTTTTGAAACAGGGGTTTACAAACAGAGAAACAGTAGCTCTCAAGGTAAAGCTACGGTAGGTACTGCTTACTGTGACACACACACACACACACACACACACACACACACCGTGATTGTATGGGCTTCCTCTGTCTTCATTCATTTTGATTTATTATTTCTTATCCTCCTCCTGTTCCTGTCAGAGATGCTTCCATTTTGCATGTGTCACATCATCACTCTCACTCAGAGCAATCAATCTGTCACCGAACTACCACTCTGGAGACAAATTAAGGGGCCCTCCTCTTAGCTCAGGCTCATGATTGGTCCTCATTACATTATCATTACCTTATCACACCCTCTAGTACTTGGCTCTTAGTGAGTCCTATTGTCTCAGGCAGGAGGTGAAGGGGAGGAGAGGAATGCCACCCTACCCCCCCCAAACTTCCCTGCATCCTACGGTCAACCCATTCTCATTTTTTGCCATCCTTCAGCATCCTTCTAAGCCTTTCTGCTGTCTGCACTGGCCCACTCCCCCCTCCTTTCTCTGACCCCCCGTATAGGCCACTCTAGTATAGATTTATAAGGTCTGTAAAAGTCAAGGTGGTTATCCTCAATGGGCTTTTAATTAGGCCTCTGTATTGAGCAGGCCAGGGGGCCGAGGCCTAGAGCATCCCGGTAGCTCTGTGGGGCCTGGATACCGTGTCATATATCCCAGCAGCACATTGTTAAGACCAAGCTTTGTCTGCCTTCCTTGTTTAGGGAGCTTTATTGGAGTTTTTGGTTGAATGGAAATCATACTGTTGCACTGCCCTAAGAACACAGGCTTAAAAGAAAATGAGTGATATCCATATAGGACTTCTTCTTTTTTTTTTTTTTTAGGATCCTAACATGACTTTGATTGTTGACACAAGACAGTGTTTAATATGAGATGTCAGTCACAATCCTTGGCTATGACACATTGTTGTGTGTCAGGGAATTTCCCAGAGAACATTGTATCGTATCACCACTCATGCATCAAATCAACCAAAACACAGATTAGTCATTGTAATACCCTATTACGTTCTTGTGTTGTGTCCTCTGGCGCTGTGATTGGCTGTCATTAATTTGTATATCACCTGAGAGGGAACTGTCACAAAGGTATGAGTACATGTTAGCTCTGCGTCCCTCATCGCAGAGGCTTTGGCATATCAGGTCTATAAGATCACATGCAGGACTACTGTTGTGCTCAGACTACGTGGCTCGTCGTACACTGCGTTTGACCTGTTGGTCAACTGCTTCGGTGGGCCTGTGATTGACACATGAGATGGTGATTGGATTTTAAGCCCAGTGTCTGACGTGTGACAGCTCACACCATCCCTGCTAATCACCTCATTTACTCAAGCTACAAGACTCTTCTGCCTGAGGCCACGTAATGCAGAATTCTCTCCCCCTGCTCAGGATTCTTCCACACATCCCGCTGTTATGCACTTCTTTCAACTTGTGAGTCGTTGTCCACGTTTGAAAAGCAGTGAATGCAGCAGCTTTTTGGTGTATCATCTATCTGGATTAATTTGTAATGCGATGGTGTTGAATGACAGGTGATTGACAGCACCAGCTCCTCACCAGCTGGGTCAGGCAGCTGCATCTCAGCACAGCTACACACAGAGCTGTGCTGGTAACTAATTTCCTAACTGCTGTTTGACTCATGCTTCCATCACCTAGCACTTCAGGAACGCGGAAAGCATTTGTTTGCCAGCCCACAGAGTGCAGGTTAGGTTCATGAAGAAATTCTCTTGTATTTATGTGTATTGTTGTGACTATGTTGTCCTTCATGTGATAGATTAAGGTACATTTTTTTCTCATCCCACACTCAGCACCATCAGTGTTCTGCTGGTTTTGTGTTAAAGTTACCACGGTAACACTTGACGTTTCCAAGAGTTCAAGCTGCGGTTGATGAGCGGTTATTAGCCATGACGCCTGAAGCCAGAATTAACCCATGGCCCTGTCTGAGCAGGTAGGGGAGTGTTAGGTGTTTAGAGAAGATTAACACATACTCATAGACACTTATACGAACATTGCTTGCTCCCACACATAAAGATATTGACGTTTATGCAACAGCACAAGCCAATACGTATTGAGAAATGCACGCGTGCGATATGTGATAGAAACTTTAACACGCAATGTGCGTGAGAATTTTTCCCAGTCACTCATATTGAGCTGACACAGACTTCTGTCACTGGTTTCACAATGCAAGATGCTTTGAGGATGAAGCTCTGAAGAATGCAGGTGGTACGCAATTACATTCTCTTTACCTTTGTTTGACCTTTTAAACTGACAAGCAATGCGCCTGTGGGGTGCTGGGGTGCCAGAGGCAGGTCACAGGGTCAAATACAGTATAAGACGAGGATTTGTGTCAAATTAGTCTTCTTTAGAGAGTCTGTTTGGAGGTGTCTGTTTTATTGACAAGAAATGTCACTATGGCTGTGTGGTCTGTACACAGGAAAACTTTCTTGTGTTTTAAGACTTTCGTGTTAATGATTTTGTGTTTGGCAGTATAGTGGAGCATTTGTAAAGTCTTTAGAGTAGACAGTCAGTAAAAGAATGACGGGAGACTGGAAGACGACACCTAGTAAAGTTCAAGACAGATTCACCAAAGTTGTTGGTGTTTCGTCAGAGTTTCTGACTTGCAAAGACATTTCAGTTTTTGTTCCCAACACAGAACACATTTACATGGATCTGTTACTGACGCTGACCCTTCTGGATTACATCTTATCATCATATCGATATACTGAAACAGCACATTCCCACTAACGCTGCCCCTGGGTTGTTGTAACAGGGATTTTGGTTTGAATGCTCACATGTAGGTGCTACAAAGAATAAACACAGTTCTGCCATGTCAGCCAAAGAAGATAACGGACCAAGTCCCTCTCCACTAATTGATTAAAATCCCCAAAACTGTTTGTGTCTCAAAAATTCCATATTTAGATTTTTTATGTTTTTCAATCCATTCATGTCTTAAAATGGCGTCGATGTAACTCTGCACCATTACCTGCTTTAGAATGTGCCCATCTATGAAGTCCCCTCATTTTTCTCTACTCAACCCTCTGCTGCTCGTTGCAGCTTGAGCCGACCAGCTCACCTACGACTGCAGTCACTGTAACGCTACTCTGCACTACACAATGGC